CAGGCACATTGGCAGATGCTGCGGTAGTTTGCTCTAGCAGACACAGGCAGTGGTGAGACAGTCAAGATGTGAGCTTTCAGAAGTTACCGACTCAGAGAATGCTAGTTGGATGTTACAGTGCAGGGAAAGGCGATCTGTGACAGGATCGAACAGTCACCCAAATGACTTTTAATTTCATTTCACTCCTTAATGGGAGTCTGGCATTACAGACTATGACATTGTGTATGTTCTAGCTGCACAATTTAGTGCTGTCAGACAAAGCACAGAGCCCTGTAGAAAAAAAATGGTTCTAAGAATGTGACATAACAGAAATATGATCATTCCTTTCTTTATTTTGCCCTTGATAATCTTCTATCCCCATGTCAGCATAGTGCTAATGATGCACAGAAAGCTGTACACTGATCTAATGTATGACAAAGAAACATTCACCTTCCCTTCAGGGCATCCTTTGCTTGACAGCGTTGGCCCTTAAACTGGTGTTTAGAATGTCTGACGTATCATTCCCTACTTTGGCCAGATTAGTAGCCTGTTTCACCATTTTCCTTTAACAGTTGGGTAACGGAACTGAGTCTCACAGACAGTGTGTGCTTGTGTCTGTATGACAGTGTGCTCAAGTGCGGGTGACTTAAGGCAGCGATACAGTCGTCTATTCAGTGAAACACAGGCGGGAAGATGAGGTCTCCCCGTTCCCTGTGGGCCGGCCCTTGCTGGTATTTGTACTGGCCCAAAGTCATGCCATTGCACAGTTAACACAGATGAGGTGTGAACATGTAGAATAGTGCCTTTGGTTTGCTCCAGTTCTCTAGTGGCCCGTTGTAGTCAGCTTTCAAGCAGTTGGTAAGCACTTAACAAGGCACCTTTCCAGTTTTTGTGTTTCAGCAGTGAATTTGTGACAATGGTATGTAACACCCTGCCTACGCAGGTGGGGCGTGGGGGGGGGGGGCGGCAGGGGGTGTCAGCTCAGGGAACTTTAAATCTCTGCCCTGTAGGCTTCAGTTTACATGTGGGCAACTGATGAGGCAGACTGCCCTGCCCTATATTTGGAGTCTGCCTGAAGGCTGACTGCCCCTGGCAGTGGCTTTTCTTCTCCGATGCCTGTAAGGGGAGACTGGGTGAGCAGTTGGGAGGCCTGCCTGGCAGACCTGGGCAGGGCAGCAGGATGCACCTTGCTGCAGAGAGGGCTGCATTCCCTCTGGGTTACCAGCAGAGAGTGGAGAGATCAGTGTTCACTGTTGATTAGGTCAAGAGGAGGATGGTGCTGAAAAAGAAGCTGTTAAAAAGGGAATTTCAGCGCTCTGGGAACAGGCAATATGGTTATTCCTTGGGTAAAATGTTAAAGAGACAAATAGCCTTTCTCTCCAAAAGGAGATTCCCAGCAAGATGATGCAGGAGGCCTTGCACTCTGAAGTGTGTTAATTAACTTAGCCAGTAGACACCTGTTAGCTTAATTAACTGTTACCATTTATGCAGACACAATGCCAAAGCAGTTAATCAGCAACTAGGTGTGATTTGTAGTGATATATTCAAGCATTACACTTTCTGAAATGAGACTCTGACTAAGCATGGGAATGATTTAGTTGTTTTTAGCAAACATGAACAACACCAAGGCAAATTAACAAAACTTCACAGTAATTTGCAACCTTTGAATCATATTGTGCCGTGCGGAAGTTAGCGCTGAGGCCTATAGGGCTATAGACATGTCTAGATCGGTTGCTGATGTCTGAGCAGACTGAATTGTTGTGTGATTATCAAACCTCCCAAGTGCCAAAGTGGTGATGTCACTCATGCTGCTGTCTGTCCACAGAGCACAAAAACAGCATCACACCCCCCACCTGTTCCCTCTGTTTCTGAAGAAGAGGATGCATATGATGAAGAAGAGGAAGATGACAACAAACCTCCCCTTGTTATCGCACCGTGGCCTGAACATACAAAATCAATAAGTCCCAGCTTTGGTTAGCACTGCAGTTGGTGTAATTCAGAGCTGCATGTTTCTGATCAGACAGCATTTGCCGTTCATGCTTAACAGGCTGGAGTCCTATCATGACCCAGTGCTTCACCCATGTCACTGACACCAGGAAAATCTGCTTTGAACTTTCACGTGTAGTGATGAGTTTCCTGTGATACTGATAGGGACCGTGTATTCATATGGTATGATGGTATAAGATAAGAGGTAGCACTATGTCTGTTAATGCTAGCGGTGTCAAAGTGAGCAGCTTTGTCCAAAGTACCTGTATGGGCTCTCTGGCATCAGTGGAGAGTACGGTCATCAGACACAGTCCACACCACTGCAGGATACTTAGGAGAAACTGTCCCCTGGAGGTACCTGTCACTCTCTGCAGACTATATAAGTAGAGAAATGAAGAGCTTAGACTGCTTCCCCCTTAACTTTTACATGGCTGCAGTTTGGTGAGGAGAATCCTGCACAGCTCTGCCTTGTGAGGAGACGGGAGGTGTCTGAAGGACTGGAATGCAGTTCCTCATGGCCACTCCCTAAGGCTTGAAATACTGATGAGAAGTTAGTTCCACTGTTGTGATGAGAAAAGGGAGATGCTACCTGCTTCTGTTCAGACACTTACGTAGCAACTGAAGAGTCGTGTCGTTACCCGTGAAAAACACGACCATCAAGGAGCAAGGCTCTGGGGCCCTGGACAGACATATTTCTGTATCCTTGCAACACGGTAAATTGATTGTTTCAGGCATCTTTCAGATAATCAATGAAAATTGAAAATGACACCGGCCATGAACTTGTGTAAAACCAGCCTTTCATTTTTGCCTGTTCAGTTTGAGAAGTGGACAGCAAAACCAGACATTTTAAGAGCCCTGGATGGGCAGACAGCATCTTCCTAAGAGTTTGCATTTGAAATACAATCTCAAGGGCATCTCTGCAAGCCACTTTTCCGACGCAAAATACTTTCTTGTCACAGACCTACACACGCTCTGTAACTGAACCTGCCGCTACACCAGCACCAGCTAAAGGAGCCACCACTCGCCAGCCTGAAAACTCCAACACTTTGTACAGAGACACGGACTGGCAGCAAAAGATTCCCAAAATGACCGAGGAGGAGATCCTAGAGAAACTGAGTATGTGTTCTGTATTTCTTGTCTGATAAAGCAGTGTCTGCTGCATGCGTGTCTCAGGATTACAGGTACTCCGTGCTCATCCTTAGTTTAGTGCCGCAGAGTCATGACTCCATACACAAACTGTTACTGTGCTTAAGAGGAAGGGAGAGAGCACTTTGGGTATTCCTTCTGCCACCGAGGGCAGCTGTGGCAGGGTTGGATTTGCCTGAGCTGCCTTCTACGCTGAAGGCAGAAGCAGAGATTGTTTCTGGTTGAGCAGAAGGCTGTGACTGGCCTAGTGAATGCCTGTGTGCTAATGGCCAAATGGAACCGAATATTTGGGTTTCTAAGTGATCAGCCAGTGACAGCTGGTGTGACTGCAGAGGCTGAAGCCTTCCTCAGCTGTGAGATTTCAGCTGCTCATGTAGAGTTCTCTGCACCCTTAGCAGGTTGACATGACTATCATGAACTGAATCTCAGGTGCCATGAGGGAGTATTCAAGGGCTAAGTTCAATAGCTTTAGTTGAGGGCGCAATGAATTAAGTTCCAGAGCAGAGAGTTACTTGCAGGTATGTCAGCTTATAAAGGGAGGAATTAGAGCATCTTCAACTGAGGCTAAATGTTTGAGGCAGGCTTTGCAAAATAGTTTTAGCAGGGAGTGCAGCTGGTGGTGGCGCTGCCCCGTTGTCTTGCCATGCTGACTGGGGGGATTCCCAGCTAGGCATCCAGTCAGATGCCCATTTGGATGCTGAAGCCCTCTGCTCCAGAGAAAAGGCCTGGACAGGGGAGGGAGGTGTTTGTTCCTACTTACAGTGAATGGTGCATCACCCAGTTTTGTTTTGGATGCAGAGGTGAACAAATAAGCATGTGTTTATGTTGGTGATACAGGTATATTGCCAGATGGGTCAAACAAAATATGCTGTGAAACATTGGAAGTCTTCCTCCTGAACTAATCTTAAAGTATTTCTGTGATGTAACTTCCAAGTTAAATCTTTAGAAGTTATTTGAATTGAGCCATCACCTTTGTTGTTTGTATTTTATCTGGGAAACTACCGGACCAGAGAAAGCAGTATATTTTTTTAAATTATTCTTTCAGATTAGTTTATCGGATCTTGGCTCTTTCACGTGACACAAACACAGCATCCTAATGAGTGCGTGCTCTCCTTGTCGTTCAGAGTGTCTGCACCTCCGAGTGGGCCAGAAGCCGTCAGGCAGTGCACGCTTTCCTGTTGGCCTTCAGTGGCAGATGGGCTGCACAGTGGCTGGTGGAGCCGGCCTGTCCCACGCCCTGCGCCGGCCCGGCTGGCCCTGCCTTCCCCTGCCGCAGCGCAGAGCTGCCGGGAGGTGGCAGCAGCCCATCTGGCCTGGCTTCAGACTCGCCTCCCCGGCACCCCTGAAATGATCGCCATCTCATTTGTGCAGCGCTCTGTGTGACGCTAGCGCCTGAGGAGTGTTACTGCTGCTGTCGTCCAGCGTGGCTGTGCTTGTTGGGGAAGGTCAGCGTGTGTGCAGTGTCGGAAGTGAGAGTCAAATGCTGGTTCCTGATCCTAGTCAGACTGAGGACGAGCAGCGTTGTTCTTAAAATGGCACAGACAAGGTCTTCTTGGGGCCTTAGTCTGGTAATAGATGATGAGGGCCAAAGTTCTTAGAGCCCTGTAATTCTCGATTGTAACAGGAGATGCTGTTCTTTAAAAACATAAAGGCGTTCTTTCGGCAAGCCGCTGAAATGTGGAGAAGATTCCCCTCCTGGGAACACTTTGCAATATTCTTCCTGTTCTGCAAGTGGCACCTGTTCATCAGAATTGATTCCAGAACCCAAGGGGCAGTTAATCTTCAGAAGTCTTGAACCTTCTGGTGAATCGCAGACTATGTGTCGCTAAGAAAATGAAGGCTCTGTTGTTCCAGCTGTCCTTAGTGTTTCTAGACAATAAACACTTGCATTGGTACTTGTTCTTTTCTGATACGTGGCTCCTGTGAATGTTTCTCCGTATTCTTGGTTTCCTGACAAGGTGACTGTCCAGGGCACTGTAAAAATCAGTCTTCGTGGAGACTCTCTGTGCTGCGGAGCTGCCTGTGTTGTTGTTGTCATCCAACTGCCTAGAAACCTAGAAATGGCTCACAACCCCAGAGAGTGGGGCTGCATTTCTGATCTGCTGGAAGGGGGTATCTCCGATTTTTATGTTGTTTCTTTCAGGGAGCACTGTGAGCATAGGAGATCCTGAGAAGAAATACACTCAATTTGAAAAAGTTGGGCAAGGGTAAGTCCAGTCAAAGTTACATATACAAAAATGCGGGCCATGTATTTTGCTGGTGTAATATCAAGCGTGAAGTTGTGCAAGCTCCAAACGTGTTCAGACCCTGAATTTAGATTCTCCTTTCTCTCAGTACTGATCAGAATTCATAACTGTGGTCAGAAGGCATCATCAAGGCCACTTGATGCTGGCAACGTCTTGTCTGCAGCAGGGAGCAGGACCTGGAAGATCTGCTGTCCCTCAAGTTTGTGGCACTCATTTGCTTGTTTTCTTAGGAGAAATCATTTTTGTCTGTCTCAAAATAATATGGCCACACTAAAGAAAGGACAAAAATCTTTATTGTCTGAAAGAGCAACTTAGAACCTCATAGTTGTCAGATAAATAACAGTTCTCAATAACATTTCTTTTCAAATGTTTTGCTTTGAAAAAATATTCAGTGATCAGGATTATAACTGCACATTTTAGAAACTGAAAGCAGAGATTAAATAATAGGCTCTCTTTTCTAGCAGGCACAGTGAAAAACAATTCAGTAATAAACACAGTGTCGATGCACTGTCCTTTCCTCAGATGGCTGGCACATGTGTTCGGGGCTCTTAGAATGACTGCATGGTGTTGCCTGAGTTTTGCAGATAGATCCAAACAAGAGGTCTGAGAAAGCACAGCTAGACTGTGTGTGTGTTACATTCTCTGGAAAAATAACCACACACACCCACCAAAAAAAAAAAGTAAAACTCAACAGAGCAAAACTGGAGAAAATGGGAAAAGAATGAAATATATTATTTTCCAGGTTTTGTAGGCATCCTGCCCTTCAGTTTTGGACTAAAATAACTCTGGAGATTTGCACCAGCCCTTTTTCTTCCTGTTGGACCCAAGTTTTATCTTGGACACCCTGCATGGCAGGGGGCTGGTGGGCTGCTGCACTGTGCGCTGCTGGCTAAAGGAGTGGAGGAACCAAGGTGTTTTAGAAACACTACAGGCAGCAGAGAGCTCCTGTCAGGGCTTTCACTTCTAGGGTCTAAAGCACTTCTCATGTCTTCGCTGCTCTTTTGTTTCTAGGGTGTCCGGAACTATCTGTAGAACACTTGATATCATCATGGGACAAGAGGTAGGTGTCAACAGCCCCAGCAGATTTTGCAGGGGTTCAGCACTTTCCCCCCTGGTGCGAACAGCGGATGGGCTTTCGGATCGCCAAGAGATCTTTACTAAAGCATTACCAGCTGGTTTTATGTTTTCACGGCAACAAAATCACTTCCTGCTTGCAAAACATGCCTGAATAATAACAGCAGTGGTAGACTAAGACCATTTGAAAAGAACGTAGGTCCAGTGAGTGCTGTTAGAGATTTGTGGCTCATAGTTTAAAGACCACTTTTACAGATTTACAAAGCAAAATGTATATGGCCATGTGTCCTGTAAGCAGCACCCAAGCTCGCAGAGAAATCGGGTGTTGTAGTGTGAGTTACTGACCTCTCGTGACTAATAACAAGAGAGCTTGGCAGAGCTCTGCTACATCATTCCAAAAACACTCTCTCCGTGTTCATTCGGATCGCGTCCAACAGACTGCTCAAATTAATGGTTTTCAATGTCATTTTAGGGGACCATAAAACAAATGATTCTCCAACAACAGCACAAAAAGGAATGAGCTCTTAATGAAAGCCTGATGAGGAGGAAAATTAGGAACCCAAATATTGTTAAGTATTTAGACAGGTAAGTAGTTCTGGTACTATCACATGAATGTTCATTTACGTACTGCAAGCCAAAGATTAAAAACAACTTCTGGTCTCTGCAGAAAATTTACCTCCCTATTATTTATCTACTCATCTACAATTTATGGGAGAAGATTGTGTTTTGTCTGCATTACTCTTTTCTGGCATATATAGTTTGAAGACTGTTTTTTAAAACCTGCATCAGCCATAGCTTACTAAAACAACTGCCTCTAAGTTCACTACCTCCGTGTTGTTTTGTTGTTAGTTTTGTTGTTGGGTTTGTTGTTTGTTTTTTTTTTTTTTTAAATTTGATCGTATTCTCTGTGTCCAATGATAAGTGCTGATAAATCATCGTAGAAATCATTTCCGTTGGGCTGTTCCCACTATTTTCCATTTCTGTGGATGCCAGGAAGACTACGTTCTTGTTTCCAGAAACACATAATTTGCCAGTTTTAAAATTGTTTTTTCCTGTCTCTGCGTATATTTTATGTAAGGTTTTCCAAACTGTTGACTAATTTCTGTCCTCAGTGGTACACCCCTGCCTACAATGGACATCTACTTAAGTTGTGTTTCCTTGTTTCTGGAGTCAGTCATCGGATTTGAGATGATGAACCAGATGATGTGCTATGTCATGGTTCCAGATTTATCTTTGCTGTTGGTAAACTGCATTTATCCCTTGCTTGCCATCTAAGAAATCTAATTTTTCACTTGTGTGCCTTTCTCATTTAGGCTGCACAGATTCTAAGTACTGTATAGCCTAGAAGGAACGTCTAGTCATTTTATTCTGTCTTCATTTAAAATGAATTGGAAAGAAAAGCCACCGGCAGTCTTTTCCATGAGGTAATTTGGCTCTGCCTGTTCATCTCAGTGCCGTTGTTTTCTTCTTTCAGCTCCCTGGTCAGTGACGAGCTCTGGGTGGTTATGGAATACATGGCCGGAGGCTGTTTAACCGAAGTTGTTACACAGTTTTGTATGGATGAAGGACAGATAGTAGCTGTCTGTAGGGAGATAAGGGATCCCACGTGTGCTCCCACTTCCTTGGACAGGATGGTACTTGTGAACAGGTGGTAAGAACATGAGGTATTTCATCTTGAGAGCTTTGTTTCTGTGTTGCTTTTGTGATATGGAGGAGAAAGGGCACCTTAAGTGAAGTGCCTGCCAGTATCACTGCACTTACTGTACTATGTCATTACACTCTTAAACACTGTTATTGTATTAGATCTTTTTTTTTTTTTAATTTTACTCTTGTCAACCTTGCCTCTTTAAACATGTGCCTGGAGCATGTCTGTACTGCATTCCTTGCCTGTAAAAGCAAACATGCTGGTGGCAGAATTTTAAAAGAACAGCAAAGAAAAATAGAGACTCATTTGTCAGAGTCCTCAGCTTAAATGGATAGCATTCCACCCAAAATGGTGTTTGCTTCTGAAAAATGACTAAGGTGCTATTTCCAAATCTGCTGTAGAGTCTGACAACAAAATCTTTGTCCTGCAACCTCCCATCTAACAGTGATCCACTTCACACCAAAGGAAGGGACTTTCTCATTTTTTGCAAACAGAATGGATGGAGATAGCACACTGATTGCGGCAGCAGCCATCCTGTCTGTGCCTTTCAGGGGCTAGTATGTGACAGTAATGGACATTTCTCTTTCCAAACCTAATACGCCTTTATTTGGAAAGTTATTACTTTCATAGTATTGAAGCAGCAAGCTATTCCTCTTGACAGCGCAATTTCTGGTGTTACTCACAATTCATCTAGAAATTAAATCTTTTAGAGGCATTTCCTTCTTGTGTGATGAAATCAGGTCATTAACTTTTACCCTCATGGTTTGGTTTTTTTTTTTTTTACCTATCAGTGCCTGCAAGCCCTGGATTTCCTTCATTCAAAGCAAATGATTCACAGGGATGTCAAAAGAAAGAATATTCTTCTTGGCATGGACAGGTCTGTCAAATTGGGTAGGTATTCTTGGTCAGGCACAGCCTTCCCAGGCTGTGGCACGGGGCTGCTTTTGACTGACTGCCAGTTCCCCAAAATGGATGCCTGTGGTAGTGCGCTGAGCACTGCTGCCAGCTATGAGCATAATTCCAATGCGCAGAGAGGCATAGAAAGGAAAAAAGTGTAAAGAGTGGCCTTGGTTTATGTATGGCCCTTCCAGAGGGAGGGAGTTACAGTCTAAAGGTTCAAGTCAATAAAAGCCACAACAGGAAACTTGAGGAGGGGGTTTTAAGTGGCCAATTCAGTATTTCCATGGCTAAAGCACTGAGTAAACAGAGCATGACCGCTTTTCCAGATAGATTCCACAATGTATTCTCAGGTACAGAGTGGCGATTTCTTTTGCTCGCTTTCCTAATTCAAGCTGCCTTTAACAACACTTGTTTTTTCTCCTCAGCTGGTTTTGGCTTCTGTGCTCAGATCACCCCTGAGCAGAGTAAACGGAACACAATGCTCGGGACTCCATACTGGATGGCACCAGAAGTGGCGAGAAAAGAAGCCTATGGCCCCAAAGTGGACATGTGGTTGCTTGAGGTCGTGGCTATACAGATGGTGGATGCAGTACCTCCTTACTTTAGTGAAAATCCTCTCAGTGTAAGGTGGACATAAAATCAGATACCACTGTCTTTCAAATCTATCCCATGTTTATTCCCCCATGAGACAAAATCTCAGCTGCATCAGCTGGAACTAGTTCCCCCACAGCCCACTTCCAAAGCTGTCACTGGAGCACAGCAGCATGTACTGTAGCTTTGGTGACGTCAAGGGGAGAACCTCCAAAGAGGAGTGACTTGTAGGCAGTTCAGAAATGTGCCATATCTGCCTTCAACAGAGCTTGAAATACCTCATGCAGTTTTTGAACTCTCTTTGAGCTGTGTCTCTGAATGACAGCGATTTTTCAGCGGCAAGTTTTTCCAATTGGGGAATTTTTCTGAAAAGCATTCCAGCTGTGTCTGCAGGCAAAGTCTTTTCAAACTCGGGTAGTGCCGATGGCTTACCTGAGCCTTTCAGGAAGTGTCACTGCTTATAGAAATGCCATAATTACTCATTAGCAAATAACTTTCTGAAGGTATGTTTTAGCACAGAAACTTGTAGTAAATGAGTGTATTTTTAATGATTTGAAGTTTTCGGTTTCATCCTCATTCCTTAAGACGAAATGACCAGCTCTTATCCCAAATGAGTGTGTAATAGTGGAGGAATGTACACCAAGATAAAACCTCATGACTGGTAGCTGAAACAAAGTTAAGTGCTGCACAGTTAATTCCTGATAGGAATGCATGAATGTATGAGGAAATTAATTGTGACCTATGTATATAGATACAGAATTTTTGTTAAGGGTGGAATTAAAATAGAGCATGACATGTAGCTTTTCTCGTAGCAGTCAGGCTGCACTCTCCCTGGTCTATGTCACCCAGACTGCGTGCTGCAGGCTGAGAGAAGAAACAGCAGAAGGGTCAGGACATACCCCCCCAGGAGGCTACTTAAGAAAGGAATACAACAGCTACACCAGTGTCAGTCCTCCACTCTGTTTGAACAAAGGTTCCTGAGTTTTCTTGGAAGACTTCTTTCGGTTTGGTAGGTGCCCCGGGGTTTTTGGTTCCAGTAGGCACAGGAGGAGCGGTGTGCGCTGTGCCACCTCGTGAGGAGGGAGAAGCAGCAAACAGGTTTGAGTTCAGACTGATGCTGAGTAAGCTGAGTGCACAGCAGCTGGCAGGGTGGCAGCAGGCCTGTGTCACTGGTTTGGAGGCTGAAAATTCCCAGCTTCCTTAACCTCAAATGTTGATTAGGGCTCCTTGAGAATCCTCAGATCAGCTGTGAGGCAGGGAACTGGATTTCTTTTCTCTGATCAAATTCACATTCAGCAATTCCTGCCCTTGCCCAGATTATTTCAGATGCCCTTTTTCTCCATACATGCCTTGTCTGCTGCGGGAGTTGAGATCAGCTTGAACACTTAGAGCTTCAAGGCGTCTTCAGGCGTCTGAGTAAAATTGCAGGAGGTTAAAATCAGGCATCTGGAGTTGGTACCATCTGTGTTCACTTCCTGGAGTCTTGTGCAAACACTGTTGCCCCTGAGCTAGGAACAGTGAACAACTTGTGATGGACTGCCTGAAGTTCCCCAGTTCCCAGCTGGTTTTATGAAGGTGAATCAACCCCAATGGGGACAGGATCCCTCTGCTGTTGTGTACGGAATCACAGAGTGCAGCGAGAGCTCTCAGCTGCATCCAAACAGTAGAGCTGTTAAGCAAGACGCGTGTTCACAGGTCAGGTTTTTAGCAGATGGCACACAGTAGCTGTTGGGTTTAATAGTCACATTTAGACCACATCCAGGGAGTTCTGCAAAGCCTAGAAACCAAACAATGCTCTTTCACATTTTTGTGAATGCTTGTTTTAATAGTGCAAGGCATGCAGCAGCTTCCGTTACTGACACGAATTGAAATACCTAAATATACTATAAGGGCATTAAAGGATCATTGATCGTAGAGTTAACACCAGTCTTAATGTAGATGCGTTTGTTTTTTTCCATGTGTAGAGCAAACGCGTCCCCTGTTGCTCAGGTTCTTTCCAGCCAATGCAGAACTCACAGGAATGAACCATTTTCCAGCCAAGAGTGTCCTGGATATTTCTGTCATGGCATTTGTTTTCTCTCACTGTGATTTCCTTCCTGCCTAGGGCCTGAGGGACAAATATTGGTGCAATAAATATCCTTTGAAGTGCCGATTGGTCCTCCCCAGATTCAGTTTTAAGAAAACCCAACAAGCCAAACCCTAAGCATTTCTGTGATCTGCGAAATGTGCAGAATATCCTGGCACCGGTGGTCAGTGTTCGCAAAGGAGACAGAGGAGTCCTGTAAAATAAACTTTATTGGAATAAAGGAAGAGTCTACTGGGCATATCCCGTGGGGTCTCTCAAAGTTGCTGGGGTCGCAGCCCCCTTTTTATCCTAATTTCCCTGCTGCATAGGACCCTCTCCCATTCCCCATTGGCTGAGGTACTAGCAAGGCACAGACTTCCCGATCTGCCTACTACATATATTACATTTTTACCCCTTAATGTGTACCCTCCTTTGCATCATGCATCGTATGTTTCATTATCATGTCATAATGCATCTAAAAAGCTTATAAAGCCTGCGCACTGTTTCCTAAAGTTGAAAAGTTCAAACTTCCCTTGAAATTTTCATGGCAATTTTTTTTTTTTAATGGTTTTTCTCTTGCAAGTTGTCTTATCTAACAGAGCTTTGTAGTCTGGTCCTTGGTTTCGGTTGAGATTCACTAATTGCTGAGATATATGGCACCTTTTGTTTTAAGAGGCCTGCTGATTACTTAATAAACAAATGGCTCCTCTGGATAAACAGTACCATTTACTTGCAAAAACACTCTCCTTCATATCTATTCATTGTTTAGGTCTGTGGTATCTTGTACCAGCCTGGGTAAATGGTACTATATTTTTGTAAAGACACTCTCATAATCCTATCAGAAGGAAGGGGCTGTGGGTGCTCCCTGTGAGCATCAGGGGGGCCCCAGCTTTTCCATCCTGCCCCAGTCTTAGAGGTTTCTGCTGCTGAGCCCCACTTTTAGAAGTTTCTGCCAGCGAAACGGGGACGGCTGAGCAGGACTTGTCACAGCTCCTTCTGTTACCTGGCATAGTCAAATAGATGAAAACTGCTGCAGGTTTGGTGCAAATAGGGAGTGGCACCATGTGCCCCTTGGCTGCCCCTGCTGTGAAGGTGCCAGCCAGCACAGGAGGGGCAGGGGATGGGGTGAGTCCATCAGTGCTCTGTCACTTGTCTCCCTGCTCTTCTCTCAACCTCAGTGGCCTTCAGAAGAACACATGGGCCTAAATATTGCTGGGATAAACATTTCCTAGAGGAACTGAAGTTCCCTGAGGAATGGCTTGTGCCCCTCATCTTTTCTGACCACTAAAAGAGCCCATGTCTTTAGAAAACAGGAACCTAAGTAAGTATTTTGAGTTTCCTGAAAGGAACAAGGCCCTGGGACAGCAAGCAGCATTCCCAGAGCACTGGCAGGGCAAAAATGCCAGCAAGCTGAAGACACTTTGATAAATGGATTAATCGAATGATGGGCCATGTTTGCCTGTGATAGCAAGGTACTGGATGTGAAGACGCAGGTGCAAGTCATCCCCTCAGTCTGATTTCTGCATATTCCTGGTAACCAGCAGAATACTGCTTAAGCCCATGAGTAACTGTGTTGGGAAAGTAATGGTTCTTTTTTTTTTTTTTTTTTCCTTTGGGCAGCATCAATTTTTAAAGTTAGCCAGTCCTCTGTCCAGCCTGATGCCTGTGATCGTTGCAGCAAAGGAAACAATTAAGAACAGCAGCTGCTAGTGCTTCAGGGGGGCTTTCTCCCATGCCAGCTCAGCAGAGGTGTGAGAACAAAAACTAACCTAATCCCTAACCCTAACCCAACCCAGTCCCTCGAATAAAAAATATTGTTTGTCTTCTTCCTGCTTTCTGTCTCCTTCATTTATTTTTAAGATGAAACAGGGCTTAAGACAGAGAGGTAATGACCAAAAATGCTTTGCTGCCTCATCCATTTCCAAGGTAAAGCAAACAGAGTTGGAAGAGTCTCTTCTTTCTCACCCTGTGAATAAGCTGCACGTTCACTTTTAAATTGTCCCTTGTTTCTTAAAGACGGAAAGTCCCTTTTATGGTTGGGTTTGGTTTTTTTTTTTGTATGGTTTGGAATTGGAGAAGCATCTCCTTCATTCCTAAGCTGCTGACTGCACTGCCTTTTCAGTACAGCCGCCTCACTGTGCCCAGTCATGGTCCTTCTAGATGAGGAAGAAAGCGAAATTGCATTTCCAACCAACAATGAATGAGGGGTGGGGCAGACAAGACCTCCTGTTGAGAGACAGGCTTTCAGCTCTGAACATAGAGTGTTTCGGTTCTTGATAATGTGGTTTGTGTCACTAATTGCAGGATGTTTGCCTGGGTGAGAGTCTCACTAAACTGAAACAGCAGAAACATCAGTCCGTGTGCTCAGAAAGGGCCCGTCTGATGCAAAGATGCAAAAGAAACATGAGATGAGACCGGGCCTAGCCTTGCCTGGTGCTGAGCCCCAGCAGAGCCCTCACAGAGCCCAGAGCAGCATCAGCATCCGCAGAGCCAGACGGGAAGAAGGCGCTCATGGAGGCAAGCAGCAGCAGACCAGCCCTGAATCGGTGAGCTTGGCCTGGAGAGGGAGTTGCTGCCTCCATTCGGCACACAACCTCCGAGAGCCCAGGGCCTGTCACCTGAAGTCCCTGCTTGCACTGAGGGCTTCCAGATACTTTGGGCTGGTGTGACACCATTACAAACATGAGGCAATAGTGGCAGGTTGTGTTTTTAAAGTCAAGCGCTTTTGCTGCTGCCTGTTGTGTGTGTCATTTGTCCTGCCCGGTCGCAGTCTTAGGGGTCAGCTACAGGCACTGCTGCTGCTTCCGTGGAGGTTAGGGAGAATTTGGTTGTTGTCCTCCAATGCAGCACAACTGGTTGCTTAAGAAGCAGATGCTAATGCCCTGGGTAGAGGGGGCTGCGGATGTCCCTCAGCTGAGCGGGTGGAAGGGAGCTGCCCACTGTCCTTATTCTCCATCATCCAAAGC